AGTACTTTCTTTGGCATGGCATGAAAAAGGATATTGCAAAGTTTGTTACTCATTGTCTAATGTGTCAGCTAGTTAAAGCCGAGCACCAAGTACCTGCAGGAAAACTATAGTCGCTATCGATACCTCAGTGGAAATGGGACTTGGTGACGATGGATTTTATAGTTGGTTTGCCAAGGACACCAAAAGGAAATGATGCGATATGGGTTATTGTGGACCGTTTAACTAATTCTGCACATTTTATCGCGATTAAAAAGACATTCTCAATGCCTCGTTTAGCACAGGTCTACATAGAAGAGGTGGTAACACTTCATGGAATCCCTATTAGTATCATGTCGGATAGAGATCCACGATTTACTTCGAGATTTTGGAACAGTTTACAACATGGTATGATCACTAAGGTACGATTGAGTACAGCTTATCATCCCCAGACCGATGGACAATCAAAGAGAACGATACAAACGCTAGAAGATACGTTACGTGCGTGTGTATTGGATTGAGGAGGAGAATGAGATCGTCACTTACCACTTGTGGAATTCGCCTACAATAATAGTTTTCATTCAAGTATCGGGATGTCACCCTTTGAGGCGTTATATGGAAGATCTTGCAAGACACCTCTCTGTTGAACAGAAGTTGGAGAAAGACGATTGTTAGGTCCTGATATAGTGGATGAAACCACAGACAAGATTAAAGTAATCAAGAAACAGATGAAGGCAGCACAGGATAGACAGAAAAGTTACGCGGATAAACATAGATGTGACATAACTTTTCAAGAGAATGACGAAGTATTTCTCAAAGTACAAGCAACTAAAGGAAAAGCACGCTTCGGAATGACGGAAAAACTAAAACCCAGATTTATTGGATCTTTCAAGGTATTGAGTAAGATAGGAGCAGTGGCTTATAAGGTTGCCTTACCCCCCGAGTTGGCACAAGTTCATGATGTGTTTCACGTGCCCATGCTTCGGAAGTACCATCCTGACCCTGATCACATTATTGATTATCAACCGCTTGAGTTAAAACCGGATGGGACTTATGAAGAAGAACCTATCGAGATTGTTGAACGAAAGGTTAAACAACTGCGGCGAAGAGAAATTCCTCTAGTAAAAGTCGTATGGACATATCATAAAGGAGGAGATGCGACGTGGGAATTGGAGGACGACATGAAAACTCGTTATCCCCATCTTTTTTGTAAGAAAAAAAAACCCGTACATACTATATTAAGTCGTTCTAGAATTCGGGACGAATTCTTCTTTTAAGGGTGGTGGAATTATAACGAACGAAAATTTAAAAAAAAAAATGAATTGGGGTTTGGTGATAAAAATTAAAAGTGCTGGAAAAATCTGCTATTTCAGTGAGGGTCTTTCAGAGCGAAATAAAAGTTTGGACAAATTTTGTAAATTTTAAAAAAAAGGAGGTCCAGAGTGCAATTTCGCCTAGGGTTTCTTTTCTTCTTCTTCTTCCTCCTCCCATGGCCGACCTTAGCTCGCCCAAAACCAGATTTTTGCTCCGTTTACCTCTTTGCTCGCCATCGGTCGTCGACCACCGCCCCGTGGCCACCGCTTCATCACCGTCGGTCCGTTTCTCCCCCTTTTCTTAGTTTTTCTTCATCGTTTTCCTTCTCCTTTACCGCCATGGAATTTTTCCGATTTCTGACGAACGGAAGCTCGGTTTTGGTCGAGATTTGAGGGGTTCAGAAGCTCTTGGCGAGCTGAATCTTTCGTGGTAATGTCGTGCCGGAAACAGTGAACCGTCACTGGAAAAATCACCGGGAAACATCAGAGAAAAATCAAGTTTTAGACAATTCTAGTTCGATTTAGGCCAAAATAATTTCGGATTTGGATTCTTTGAGTGATTTTACATAAGATACAGAAAAATTAGATGATTCCGGGAGATATGACCACCGCCGGCCACCGGCTGCCAACCACCGCCACCGGCCACCGTCGCCGGAAAATTTTCCGGTGACATGGGTTGAACCGTTTCAATCCCGTGATTTCAAATCCGAAATCCGTTTTATAAAATTCAAAGTATTTAGAGATATTCGAACGATTTAAAATAAGACAGTTTAACCGTAAGACTTACCATTCGATTAACGTTTTTTTTCGGTAGTAAATATTTTTGAAAAATAATTTGTTGATTAAAATTATTATATGATAATTAATTATAGGTGAAGAAAATCTCGAGGTTATTGAATCCGTGATCGAGGATTAGAGCGAATCTTTCAGGGTTCATCGTTTAGACCAAGGTGAGGGAACTCGACAGAGCTCCTCTTTCTTCTATTCGCTTAGACATGATGATAGAGAACATAGATATCATGCGGTTAGGACTTTAGGATAGACGCCTTAAATTTCTTGCGGATTCATGATGTATGTTGATTGATGATCGATGATTGATGAAGGATGATTAATGATTGAGAATCGATGATTGATGAATAATGCATGATGATTGATGATTGATAAATTTCCGTTGAGTGATTATGGTTTATGACGCACATGTTATGTGATGACGTTTTTTTAATAGATTATTAGATTGTTAGAATGAGTTGAACTTTTGATATTAAATAAACTTTGGCATGATGTTTGGAAAGATGAGAGAATTAAAGAATTGAGTTAGGGACTAGGGTGTGACCTCAGACTGTGCTAAAAATATTTTAAAAGTGAGTTTTGAGACCATGGTACGGCGGCGATCCGTATGTGATGGTATGATAACAACCCGGGCATGGCAGCGATCCATGTGGAGTGATAACCGGCGGCGATCCGTAGAGGAGTAGAGGGTTATAACGATATTTTTGTTTTGTTTTATAAAAGAGTTTTGAGCTAAGTCTGAGGGGTACTGAATAGTCCTAGAGTCTGGACTCGTTTTAGAGAATCGAACAAAGAAAAGTTAGGAGAAGAACGTGAATCGATAGTCGTGTTTTGATAACCCCGACTACGGCGGCGATCCGTAGAGGGTTATAACGATATTTTTGTTTTGTTTTATAAAAGAGTTTTGAGCTAAGTCTGAGGGGTACTGAATAGTCCTAGAATCTGGACTCGTTTTAAAGAATCGAACAAAGAAAAGTTAGGAGAAGAACGTGAATCGATAGATTGAGTTTTGTTTGAGTTGAATGTTGATTGAATTGTTTTCTATTTGATTGTCTATTCTGGGTATGGAGGCGAGGTTTATAGTCTTGCAACCTTACTGAGCTATTCGCGTAACTCACCCCTTCATTTTTCTCCACAGGTGAAAAGTGAAGCAGATTATTTTTGTTGGATTTTTTTTGTTGGATTTGGTAGTTTGCCAGAAAGACGAAGATTTAGAATTTCTATTTTATTTATTCAATTTATTCATGAAATTAATATTCAGACTTATGTTATTGAATTCATTGTTTTAGACTTCCGCTGTAGAGTCTGATTTTGATGGTTGATTTTAGAATAAATCGGATTTTTTTTATAACCCAAGTGACGATTCAAAGATATCCAAAATACCGGATTTTGGGTCGTTACAAAAACCATGAAAGAGATGCAAGAATATATATAGAATAAAAGTACAATGATGTATAAGAGGGTGACACGTGTCCTCCTTAAGAATATAAAAAATCTCTTTATACATTAAATATTCTCTATCTCCAATTCGTATAATTTTCATTAAATAAGATGGGTAATCACATCACAACTAAAAAATAAGAGACGATTATTCATCTCCTCAACTATTTCTTTAATTTCCTTAATTTTTACTATTCTATTTATAATATTCAACGTTTTTAAAATATATTTATTTTAATATTATTTGATCTGCATGTTCATCTAACCACTTTCGTTTTTATTTGTCTAAATTCAATGGTATTACAAAAATCTTTTCTTACATACATCTTCATCTCCTCTTCTCCATGCTGAGTCACCGCCGCAATTCCAAGGTTTCACCGGCGTTTGACACCTCCTGCTTGATCCAGGAGCAGCCCAACCTCCTCTACACGAGCTTCACTCTCTCACTCTGCTCACACTCAGCCTACAGCTCGCTCTCACCCTCTCCCTCGTGTTCTTGCGAGCTCAGACTAAGAATTCTCAAATCGGAGCTCATTTCGCATGGAAATCGACGAGAAAATTCAGGAATCAACACTAGAAAACCCCAGAGCTCAGAAATGACACAGGTGAGTGTTTCGGATTATGCCCGAAAATGATAATCAAATTGAAAATGGAGATTTGATTGCTTTGAGTGGAAATTGCATGAAATTGGTGTTAGATTTGGATTCCTGATGTTCTAGGGATCATTTTTATGTATAACTTGTTGAGTTTGGTGCGAAAATTGGGAACCCGAAGTTCCTGGTGCGCCTAGACCGAACGGTCCAGGCATGGACCGTCCGTTCTAGGGTTTGTAGGGTTTCAGGGGAAGAAGACGAGTCCAGACCGTCCGTTCTGGACCTGGACCGTCCGTTCTGACCTAGAACGTCCGTTCCACCTTTCGCGGAACGTCCGTTCCAGCTTCGGCCAGACCGAAGGGACCAAGCCACCAGACCATCCGTTCCAGACGGGGTAGGTCGTCCGTTCTGGACCCTGTCTCTCCGTTTTGGTTCGTTCTTTCGGACCGAACGGAATCCGATGCAACCGACCCCTATACGTGACCTACCTAAACCCATTTCCCACCCGAACCACATGAAACTTGAATGAAACTGACTTACGGTAAGTAAAACCTTCGGAACGAGCTGAATTGGTAATCCGAAATGGTCGGAACCCAATTTGATCGGATCGGAGGATAAAAGAATAAAATGAATGTAAAGCAATGAGATAACCAAAATGTCAAGTAAAGACGTGTGTATATCCGATTAAAGTATAATAATATACGAATGCATGTGATTGGGGAATCGGGTAGTTGGCATGGCGTGAGACTTTATTCCGAGCGCCGGGATAAGGTTGAGCGTGTGATTGTAGCGGGTTTGAGGTGATATCCCGATGGTTGCATTGTTGAGATCTCCTCTTTATGATCTCTGACCCGGGTCGGGTTTCATATTGAGGAGGCATGATTGTGATTGATTGCCCATGGGCAGAGCTTGGAGCCGATGATACACGTGATAGTCTTGAGTGATTCGGCTATCACGGGGTTGAGGAAATCCTACGGTTACACTGTAACCGCGCCAACGTTCCACTAGCTATGGAACGGGATCGGAATTGAGTGATTCTCCCGGCAGAGACTGGCAGTACATTTACCCGTGACTCGGGATTGAGCGATTCTCCCGACGAGGTTATGCGAAGGAACTCAGAAAGACCTGAGCTCGGGTCCAATGAGTTTCTCCGTGGCGGACGGCCGGCGAGAGGTTGTCAATTGTGTACTGACTTCGCTCGACATAGTCGGTGGTGGCCTGGAGGAGGCACCTGGCGCTCTGGTATCGAGAGGTGACATCGGTATCAGACATCGATGTCAGAGGGGATGGTTGATGTATTATGTTTTATGGAGTAGGGATTTGGATGGCGTGTTTTATTGTTCCGGTGATTGCCGAGGAGAGCGGGGGATGTGCGTTGCACATGGAGCGTCCTTACCCACGTGTGTGATGCACACGTGGAGATGATTTGACGGTACGGTTATTACTGAGAGACCCGATGGGTCGAGCTATGACTTGTGTACATATGTCCTGGACTGGTGAGACCAGATCCGGTGTGGTGTCCTATGTGTGCGATGCACATAGAGATGATTTGACGGTTATGTCCGATGATACATCATGCGGACTGAGTGTGTGTGATAAGTGAATTATTTGTGCGATTGAGTGAACGATGTTTGACGGCATGGAGTGTGTATATATATGTATACACTTATATGTACCGTGTGTATACTATTGTTTGTGTTTGGCCATTTGCAATTTGAATATGATCTTCGGGTTTAACCCGAAGTACTCACTAAGCATGTAGCTTAGGACGTTGTTATGCAACGTTTCAGCTCGAGATAGCGCAAAGAGGATCGTTGGATGGACACAGTAGCGCCAGGAGTGTGAGGAGGAAGACCGAGAAGATTTAGGTTGAAGTTACACATATTCCTGTTTCAAAAAGAATGGTAGTGTCGATTTATGAGTTTTGTATTTTCCGATAGTTACACTACCGTATTTGCATTTGTCTCCGCTGCATATGTATATAAATTGAGAATTTTTAAATCCCGCGTATTTTCGATAATTGTATTTATTTTATTGTTGTCCATGTGGCGCAACTCGTGGTTTTGCGGGACACGGGTTTCAGATGTTACACGAGATCCCGAAGTGTAAGGACGAGGAGCTGGAGAGTAAAGGTGCCGAGTAGGAGAAGCTTAAGATGGAGGTGAAGAAGCTGCTGAAGATGAATGAGTACAAGTCTAACATGGTAAGATGATACCTCTGATTCTCGATTTTAATTTTATTTATAGATTATCATGATTTGAGATGATTTGGGGGATATATTCAGTAGATGTGATTGATCGGTAGTTGTGTTGTTCAAAATTTATAGTTGATCCGGTTACAATTTATTGTTCTGTTTGAAGTTCTATTATAGGATTTCGATTGGTTAAAAATTTGGATTGGATTCCGTTTGATGACAAAGCGATTGTGCAAAAGTAAAAAACGGAGAATCAATCAATTATATATATATATATATAAATTATATCCAAAAGGTGGATGGTGACTTCATTTCGCGTGCTTTCCCTTTCATTGCGCTGCAAGCAATTAATTTGAGAAGAAATGTGTCTTTGGTCACTGATTTGAAAATGTTTGTGTTGATTCTCAGGCTTTCCCAATGAGGTTTTCTGAGTTTTTGGTGGTGATTCCTGAAGAAGAATCGATTTCGGAACTAAGTTTCTCCTTTTTGCACTAACGTAAGTTTTTCAGCTAAGCTGCAAATTAATCGTTGTTATTGTGTTGGAAGTCCCAGTTTTTCTCTTCACTTTATGGTTTTGCTCGGCAACCAAGCAGGGTTTTAGTTTCATTTCTTTTCCTTTAGCCCCTGACTTTGTTACTTGAAACTCCGGACGTGTTTCGTTCATACGAGTTAGTTAATTTAGATGGGGATTCACGACTGTTGGTGGGTTTGGTTTCATATCATAGAATTTTGAATTTCGTTTTAACATTTGCGTGTTCAGAAAAGATGAATTTCAACAACGTCAAAGTGTCTGGTGGTGATGTCGTCTCTGTGTTGCTTAAGGTGTAGACACTACAAAAAACACTCACTTTTCCGACGGAATAATCCGTCGCAGTAAAGAGAAATTTCCGTCGGTATATCTAGTTTGCGACGGACATCGATGGAATAAGTTCTGTCCGTTAATGGTTGTCGCAAACATATCCCGATCGTGCATCCGTCGCATAATTGCGACGGAAAAAACCCGTCGTAAGTCAGTCGTTTTTAGCGACGGAATATTTCGCCGATAAAAACGACGGCCTAACCGTCGCAATGTAGTCGATATGATCGACGAAAACTCCGTCGTTTTTCCATGGTAAACGCGACGGAAATTCCATCGCTTTTAGCGACGGAATCTCCGTCGTAATGCCGTCGTATGTTGTGACGGATCTTCCATCGCACACTAGTCGCAAAGAGGGACGGGAGGATTGGTCAGATATTAGTCTCAAATTAGCGACGGTCATTAACGACGGATTTATCCGTTGGTGTATCATGGCGACGGGTTTTCCGTCGCTATGTAGCTACGGAAAGCGACGGAAGATTTCCGTAGGATTATTCCTTATGCGACGGATTATTCCGTCGCATAAGGAATTTTATTCGAAAAAAAATAAAAATTTCTTTTTAAAAAAATAATTATACAATAATATTATAAAAAACCGAAATTATTTTATATATTACAAAATTGAAATCTAACGAAATAAATT